AAAGAGACTCTTTGGGTCATACCTGGATTTATGCCAGATGAGGTGATATACAGGGTGGGGTGCTTAGAAAGCATAGCCTCAGGACTTGAGGTGGTCACCAAAAGGTCTAGTGTGTTTAGAAGTTGGAAACTCTGAGCCCCAAACTCCTAGCGTCTGGGAGAGGAGGGCTGGCCTGGAGGCTGAGCTCTGTAAAAACTCTTGAACAAGTTGATTCGAGGCAAAGATTCTCTGTGCAAGAGGGCGGTACACATGACCCTTCCTTACCTCACCCAGTGTACCTCCTCACCTGGCTCTTAATTTCTGTCTTTCATAATATACGGTTAAATGTAGGTATTTTTCCTTAGTTGTGTGAGCTGTTCTAGCAAATTATGGAACCTACAGAAGGAGCTATGGGAATCCCTGATTTATAGCTGGTAGAAGTATGGGTGGCCTGGGACTTGTGACAGGCATCTGAAATGGGAGCAGTCGTGTGGGACGGAGCCCTTACCTGTGGAGTCTGCACTAACACTGGGTGATTAGTGTCAGAATTGCATTGAATTCAGGAGTCCAGCAATTGTTGGTTAGTGTCATAAAACAGGTTGAGACAGATAATAAATAATGTATAGATAAATAAGTAAATATATAAATGTGTTAGATAGTAAAAGTGTCAAGAAGAAAAAATAGAGCAGAGAGGATAAGGAATATTTGCAGGGGAGGGCTGTTGAAACTTGCAGTAGGTTGGCTAGTGAAAAGGCTTGCAAAAAGATGACTTCTGAGTTAAGAATTGAGGCAGTGTGAGAGCAAGCTGTGTAATTAACTGGACAAGAGGGAATAAATAGGCAAGCAGAGTCCTTGAGGTGAAGGTCTGCCAGACGTGTTCCAGGAACAGCAAGGAAGCCAGTGTGGCTAGAGCAGAGAGAATGGAGGGAAACGTGGTAGTGGGTAAATTTGGACAGGTAATAAAAGGCTTTCTATGTCATAGATCTTTGGCTTTTATTGTAAATTAGAAGAAAAGCCATTGGAGGGTTTTGAGCAAAAGAGGATGACATCTGGCTTTGGTTTTAATACAGCAGATTCAGGGAGAGTAGTTACGAGGCTATTGCAAAAATCCATGTATAAATAATGGTGACCAGCATGGTGCGGTAGGAAAGTCAATGAGCATAAAATTCTCTTTATTGTCATACTTTAAGAAACAAGTCTGAAATACTTCATTTTGTTATTTATTTAGCCACTCCTCTGATTTCTAGCTTTCCACTAGTTTTAAGTATTTTGATGAAGATTGTGATCTATGCATATGCAAGCATTTATGAGATCATTTTTTTAAATTCCTAGAAATTAAGACTACTGGGACAGTAAAATGCATGTATTTCTAATACTTCTGATGCACATGGCCAGAACACTAACCTGAAAGATTAACAGTTTTCTTCCGAATCAGAATACCTATTTATAAACTTTAATACTTGGTTTTGATATACAGTGTATCTTTAAATTAAATCCCAAATCCTGACAATAGAAATATATATTTTTTCATTTTATTAAAAAAAAAACACCTAATTTCAACTTTTATCTTTTAGGTTACAGTTCCCTTGAGTCATCTCATCAATGCCTTCCATTCACCAAAAAACACCTCTGTTTCTGTGGGTGCATCAGTTTCTCAAAAGCAGCATGGAGATGTAGCTCCTGACCATGAGGCTCCCAGCAGTGAGGTAATGGTATTTATCAGGGGTGTGGGAGCAAGCCTTTTTGATTTATTAGCACATGGCAAATAATGTTTGCAGTTTCTTTGGTTAGGTTATTTGTAACAAATTGTTTGATGTCTTCAGTTTGATTTCTTTTACAATGAAAGATGTCTCATTTTGGCTTTTTTTACATAATTGAAGTTACTTTGTTTTATTCTTTAATATTTAATTTGTAAAAAAATTTCACATGGCACATTTATTTGGTATTTACTTTCTAGGTCACAACATGTGTGATATCATTTACATATTCTTTTGTGTTGCTCCAACAGTAGCAGTTAACTACTTTTATTGCAAGTCTCAGGGGAGACAGAAAAATAGTAAGAGGTTATCTTCTGTTGCTTTAAAGGAGCTGATTCATTAGTGTAATTGAACAATTAGGATATAAGTACCTGAAAATGAAATGTATGAGCTATGCAACTATACTATCACTCTTGAGGGGATTATAAAATCAGTGTTGCCTAGGACATAGGGAATTCCCAACCTAGGAACCTTTTGTTTATAAGGCTCATTTATACGATAGTTGCTTTTCAACTTTTCCTCAGCATTTGACCTTACTGAGCAGCTATTATTTTCAAAATATCTACTTCCCTGAAGTGATGTTACACTGATGCTTTTTAAAATTTTCTTTCTGTTTTGCTGAATTTTTTTTTATCGCCGACCCCTTAAATATTGGGTGCGCTGTATGTTTATCTAATTGTCATTGTGCACCTTCTCCTAGGGCATGTTACCCAATTTCATGTCTTCACTTAACATCTGTAGTACATGTTGATGAAATTCCATCTATATCTCCAACCCTAAAGTCTCTAAAACTTTAATGTAACTTATTTAGTGGCTTATAAAAATATCCCTCTAGAGAGATATCAAGGACCTCAAAATTAGGATGTCCAAAACTGAGCTACTCCCCATGTTCCAGTGTTTGAGATCCTACAGTGGTTTTAGCACCTCTTCATCAGACTGAGTCCATCCAGGAGAGAGGTACCACATACTCATTTGAATAGTGGAAGTTTCCTACAAAAAGTTAGTATAATTTTCAGTCTAGTATTTTAAAAATTCTTTTTCTTATATGGGATTGGAATAAGTAGGGATTGGCTAGTAATAAGGAAAGAAAACTCCAAAGTATATAGGACTAGAGGTTTAAGAAGCAGCTCATCTTCCTAGGACGGAGAGAGAGCTTTGCAGGAAGAGTTCTCCACCCCCAGGCTGAGGTCCTGACCTTGTAGGGAAAGCATGACCTTTGTTCACTGAATGGCAGATAAGTCTCTGGACCAGCTGAACTTGATGAAAATCTACCCTCTAGGGTCCCAGGGAAAGCTGTTCATGGAGATGGCGTCTTAATGGAAAAGCTGCTGGGTGCCTGCACTGGCCACTGGGCACTGTAGGAGCCATGCTTTGGAGAAGCAGGCAGGAACCAGGTCCTGGAGAGACCGTGTGTGTTGAGATAGGGCCTGCTGGGTGAGCTCCCCAGGACCAGGAGCCACAACCCTTTGCTTCTCCAGTATCTCTCCAGTGCCCCCTACTCAGTTTCACATTGACCATTGAGCAGAGGAAAGAGATTTAAAGGGCCCAGATCCATGTGAACTTCGGTTGTTTTTCCTACTTCTCGAAAAATTGCTATCAACAAATGGATAACTGGCACATCCGCCCAGAATCCTTCTCCCTCTCAATCCCTGTGCTCTGCTGGTTTCTTCAAATGTCTGTTGTCTGTGATTTGTTACTTCATCCTTCTTAGTTAGGGCTTAGTTCAGGCTCACACCTTTTCCCCTTGTCCTGTCATCCTTCTCTCATCCAGTTCACCATCTACTCTTTTCTTCTTTAAAAGAAACAAAACAAATTATGTTTGCTGTAGAATTAAATTCAAACATGGCTTTTCACACTCTGGCCATAGCCCATCTTTCTAGTCCCTTCTTCAGTCACTAAACTTTTTACTACATCTCAACCATTCCAGGCCCTTTGATGACTTTTTATTTGCCCCCTTCCCAAGGCTTCCTTCTTCATAATTCTGGAAAGCAGGTGTTACCTTAGGGAGGCCTTAGTTGACTTAGGAAATTAGTTGCTGTGTGTTCTGTGTTCTCTCACCACTTCTAAAAAGTGTCTCTGTAATGGCACTTGACCATTCTGTATAAGTACCATGTTTATATGTACCTTATTTCTCCTTAATGTTCCTAGGACCTGACACCCAATAAGTAAGAAGGGGAATAATTTTCGGTCTTACTTCAGAATCTGTTTCCCTTTTGAAGTCAGAATTGTAAATAGGCTTTTTGGTTTCCTTTAGTAAAAGTTTACTTGAGAGGTAGTTCTTCAATATTGTAGTTCTTCTATTTTCATTTCTTTAATAATGAGCTTCATTTGTACAGTTTTTGGTAGTTTAAAAAGCACTCTTAAATATTTTATTTCCTTATGCCTTTAACTACCTCACTGTACTTTAGGGTATGTACGTAAGTTAGGCATGATCTCTTCTGTTGAGCCACATGATCTCATTGTGAAATAGGCAGGGCATATTTCATAGTCATTTGACTAATAAGGAAATGGATTCTAAGAGTGTGAATGACTTGTCACACAGCTAGTAAGTGACAAACCCCTGGATATCAATCCAGAGCTATATAATCCATGCATTTGACTTCACATCAATCATAAGAAGTTGGTACTTTATTTGTTGTTTAATTTTGTTCTCCTTACTTGAAGTTTTAGCTTTTGGGGGCTTTTAGTTATTACTTGTCTTTAATGTCTCCTTGACAGCTCTTGTAGAGAAGAAAATAACTCACCCTTATTCTATTTGTAGTGACGTTAGAACTGTTTTGATGTGAGTGTATTTTATTGCCTGGTTTCTCACATTTTTTGCCTTGTTCAATTTCGTCCTTATTAGAAGTTAAATTACGGGTAACTATAGAACCTCTCGGTCCAAAGAAGTTTCAGTAGTGAGGCCAGAGGAGTGAAATGTCCCATTGTAACAGAGAATACCCTTTCTTTGTCAAATGGGCTTTTGTTTATGGGCATCAGGGCCTTGAGGACGCTTTAAAGCTCTGTGGACTGGTTCAACCATTGGAAAGATGATTTTTTTTTAACCTGTGTCAAACCTCAGTAAAACTAAAACTGTAAAAATATTTGTACCAACTTATTTTTTAAATATTAGGAAGAAAAGAGGAATCAATAACATTTGTTAGGCTTTAGAAATACATATTGTTTCAATTGTTTCAATGTATAGGAACCCTTCAAGTTAACTGTCTTGATAATGTTTACTTTGTTGACTTAAATCTTTTACAGCCTGTACTAAACTTAAGAGACCTTGGATTATCTGAATTAAAAATTGGACATTTTAATCAACTGGTAGGCGGTCTACTTCCTGGGTTTTGTAAAGGCAAATCTCATGTCTTTACACATCTCATATCTCTGCAGTCCTTCTTTGAAAATAAATATGGTAAGTTAATATATTTTATGTTCCAATTAAAGTAAGCCATTTTAGTACTATTCATGACTTAAGAGATACCATTTATCATTTACAATTGTTTTGTGCCAGGCTACTTCATGAGTTGTTTTCTTTCTTTTTAGGGGGCAATTTTTCTCACTGGAATCATTTTAGATTTGCAAGGATAGCACAGAGCTCCTATATACCCTCATGTCTGACTTCCTCTAACTTTTGATCACCTATATAATCATGTTTTGACATTTGTGAAAACTAAGAAGTTAACACTGGTACAATACTTGTAACTAAACTGTAGGCTTTATTTAGATTTTACCAAATGAAATTTAATTTCACAAACACTAGTCACTGTTTCTATTGGGGTCCTCTTTCTACTTGAGTATCTACAAAAGTATACTAGACCTAACATTTAGAATAATGGAGTGTTGTTCTAAGTTTAGGTGACAAACATGTATTAGATTCCAGGTCTCTGAGAATACATTGAATACATACCAGTCATGGTCCTTTTCTTAATGGACTATCCGTATTTTAATTGAGTCTTGGAACAATCTAGTAGTATAGTAAGTGGGCACTTTGTTGAAAGGCTTGTCAACTTCATGAATTTCTTTTTGGATGATACTTGAACAATGAATGTTAGAGGCTTATCAAAATACTTGTTGTGTATTGATGGAAGAAGATATTTTAAAAATCCATTCAAGTTATAGAAGCCCAGGAACAAAAGAGCAGGTTTGAACAGTTTTGTGACAAAGGTTTGATTTGAGGCTGCACTTAATTAATTCATTTATTAGTTTTTCATTCTTTTGCCTTTATTTCATATAAAGACTCAAAGGTGAATTCAAGAGTGAGGAAAAATGAAGTTTTTGAGGTTGGGGGCTTGGATTAAAAATCTGCTTCTGTTTTGTAATTTTTTATGCTGTACTACCTCATTCCTGAGAGAAGCCCTGAGGCTTAGTGGTTAAGCGTAAGGAGACAGGCCCAAACTGAGTCTTACCACTGACTTTGGTATTTACTTCTCTAAGTTGCTGTTTTTCTCATGAAGTATGAGGGATAGCTCCTTATTTCATTTTGGAAGATCAAATGAAATAATCTAAGTACTGTATGTGGCCCATAGTGTTTGGGAGAGTAAAGTTTTTGTTAGTATTATTGTTTTATAGTAGTATTACTATGACTTTGCTAGACTTAATGTTTACATTTCCTTTTTAAAAATTTTATTTTATCAAATGTACATCACAGTGGTTCAGTGGTCCTCCTTCCCTCCCCCTGCCTACTCGCATCCCCCTTGGTAACCACTAGTCACTTCTCAGTGTCTGTGAGTCTAATTCTGTTTTGTTCTACATTTCCTCTTAAGGTCATTCCTTTTACTGCCAGCCGTCTTCTTGGCTTAGGCGGGCAGAGGTTTAAGGAAGCATTTATGGACTGGTCTGTAAAGTTCTTGGAAAAAATCCCTGGATTCTAACTAGGGTACGGGGATAGATGAGAGCCAGGTTCTATTGTCACTGCCCAACTTCGTCTCTAGGATCATGGATATAGAGTAGGATGGGGCCTGTTGACTTAAGAGTAGGAGTTAGGCAGGATCACCCAAGTATTCATGCTGTGCAGCTGTGGCAGGAGCCTTATTTGTACCAATAAGTATGGAAGCTTCAAGAGAGATAATAGTACCTCAGGTGTGCTGTATTTCATCACATTGTTCCCTAGAGGTTGTGAAATTGTCTCTAGGAAACAGCTATTCTTTATCTCTTTATGCTGTGTATAAAAGTAACTTTAGCTGAACAGATATCTTTTACCTCTTGATTTGAGTTTAACTTCATTGGCAGCTGTATTTGTATATTAGACAAAAAATATAATGAACAAGTGAGAGACAGCAAAATGATAAAGGACTATAGTTAGATTAGCAGTGCTTTGGGTATTTAGTGAAAACATAGTCATTTATGGACAAAAGGCAAAACTCATATTTTTGGGGTTTTTTTTGATATTTGGGAAATTATTTCCTTGGGGTTTTTGTGGCTTGGACATTAGAAATTTTACTCTTTTCAATTTCCTTCCAGGTTACTTAGATAAATTTAGTACCTTACGTTCCTCTTGCTTGTACAGACAGCCTTCAAGAACTCTGAAAAGTGTTTGTTCAGATCTTCAGTACTGGTCAGGTATGAAGCAACAAGTGTATTTACTTTATTTTATTTTATTTTTTAGTGAAGTATCACTGATACACAATCATATTAGTTTCAGATGTACAACACAGTGGTTCAACAGTTACCCATATTGTTAAATCCTCACCCCTGCTAGTGTAGTTACTATCTGTCAACATAAAAAGATGTTAAACTGTATTTATTTTGAAAAAATTAATAGACTTATTTTCTATTTTCTGATTTGTCTTTCTTAATGGTATTAATGACAGAAACATTCATCTATAGCTCACAATAGAACTTACAGAATATTTGGAATCAATTTATTTGTATGTAATTTTTAATCTGGAAAATATAAAATATCCAAATTTGGAATGTGAATGACAAGTGCTTCCATAAATCAAGATTTGGGGAACTTATTATCTAACCTGCTTCAAAACAATTAAGCACATTTGTTTATTTCCCCTCGTTTTCAAAATCTTACAGCAATAACTGAAAAAAATAGAAAAATTTGAAAAAAGTGAGAGCAACATTAGGCAGGTTTCATCTATGGACCAGAAATTTGAGGAGTTTCCATAAGTTAAGAAGTAGATGACATCACATTGGTAGCAAAATCAAATATGCCTTCATTCATACTTATTTAATGCCAGGCACTAGTGATAGGTGGTAGTTATAAATGAAAAAAAAAAACCCATTCATTATCTACCTTCATGGGACTTAGAGCAGAGTGACGTGAAAGGGTACACTGTAGTCCTATTTCCAGCAGAACTTAGGAAAAAACCCTAAGTTCTGAATCAATACTAGTGGGCTTTGTGATGGTTGATAGGTCATCCCAGACAGACAGTTGAAACATTGTCAAAAGTGGGCTAATCACAGAACAGTTATGGCTCCTAACTTTTAGGCTACAGTGAGAAAAATTGTAGTCCTATTTCCAGCAGAACTTAGGAAAAAACCCTAAGTTCTGAATCAATACTAGTGGGCTTTGTGATGGTTGATAGGTCATCCCAGACAGACAGTTGAAACATTGTCAAAAGTGGGCTAATCACAGAACAGTTATGGCTCCTAACTTTTAGGCTACAGTGAGAAAAAGCACCTTTATAATCAGGGGTGTGTGTGTGTGTGTGTGTGGGGAGAGGAATCTGTCTCTAAGGGCTCGTGGTTTGAGCATTGATACCAGAGAGAGAAATAAGACACTACACCAGGTCACTTGGACTTGAATCATACACAAATGGTATCCTGCTCATTCACCATAAATCCATGTTTATATTCTAAAAACATTTACCACCATGGTAGTTTTGAGAAAAACTGTCTACAATTAGTAATGATTACTGTTGTTCTTTATGAATACACATTGATTAGCAGTGATCTCCACATATTTGAGGAAAACTTGTATGAAAAAGCATGGGAAATGGAGGCATTAAGTTGGGCAAGGAGACAGGGATCAACTGAAGAAATAGTTAATGCAGTAGATAGATGATTACTTAAGAAGAGTGATGGATCTTTATATATTCATGGAAGACTTACAAAAAGCATGTATTAGGGTATGAAGAATATCTTAAAAGATTTTTTAAAACCTAGAAGTCAGGTTCTCTTATCATGTAGTAAAACTGTAGTCAAATAACAGAATAGCTAAAAAAATAACCTGACTATATAGAAATTTCTAAGTGTCTTGTGGCTGAAGGGAAATCCAAACTGAAATTTCAGTTAGTTAGTAGTAAACTACAGTGAAAACCTGCATATCAAAATCTTTGGATTCAGGATAAACTGATGTCAAAACCATAGTATAATTTATTAGGAAATAAGAAAGATGGGAAATAAATGAAACATTCGTTTTGAGAATTTTTTTTAAAGAATAGGAGATGTTAATGTGGATAAAACAAATTAAATGAATACTATAGCAAGAAACAGTTTTGCTTAATTAAACCAAGAAGTTTAATTTGAAAAAAAAACAATAGAGCAAACTAACAATCTGATTAAAAAACAATAAACAAAATAATACTTTTCAAACATAATCCCTTTGTCCCAAAGGCACTGAACTCAGATGGTTTTATGGCTACACTGTGTTTCCCAGGATCAGAAGTTTCCTGTTATTTGAAACTTTTAATAAAGAAAAAGATAGAATAGGCTTCCCTGTTTATTCTGTGAAGTTACTGATATTGAAACATAAGCAAAAAGTAGAATACAATAGATCAATTTCACTTAATATAAATACAAAAATCCTAAATAATATCTGTAAAACCAAGTATTAGAAATGTGCTAAATGATTAAGGATACAAGAGTGATTTAACCTTAGGAAGTATATTAATTTATATTACTTGATTAGAGAAGAAAAGCAGTATTATTTCAGTGTATGATAAAAAAGCATACAACATATATTGTTTGTTATGCTTCCTAAAAACTCTTAGAAAGCTAGAGAAGAGGGAAGCTTTAATTTCTTAAGGGTATCTATCAGGCTGTCATTAAGTGTGAGATACTAGATTATACAATAATCTAGTACCCTGTTTTTGTTCAGTGGTAATAGGGAGGTTCTGAGTGATATGATTAAAAAGGAAAAGGGGAGTTAAAGGAAGCTACAAAATTGTGATTTGGTGATAATGATTGTTGTAACTAGAAAATTCAACTGAAAGGCTACTTTGGTATCATAAAATAAATGCATAAAAATCAGTAGCTTTCTTATATTCTACCAATAGCTTTTAATTACAGTTTTCAAAACCCGTTAAATCTTTTATCCTGACAAGAAGTATGCAATGTAATATATATATATATACACACACATATGCATGTGTGTATTTGTATGGAACTTCCCTGAAAGAAAGAAAAGGAGCTGAGTAGACTAAATAAGAGGATACTACAGTCCTCTTTGGAAGGGCTTAGTAGTGTTGCAGTGTCAATTTGCAGGCAAATTAATGAATTCATTGCAGTCCCAGTCAAAACCCTGAACACTTGTTAAGAAAATCAAGAAGTTTGGTATTTAAAAAAAGGGAATCAGATTATTTTCTTACATCATAAGTAAGTTCCAAATAGGTGAAGTCTGTAAAGAAAAAGTTGTAAGTATTAATGGAGTCAATAGACTACCTTTAAAGTCTTAGTTTGGGAATGAGACCCTAATCAAAACAATATAGAAAACATTGAAGATAAAAAGGTACAGCTGCATTAACTATGCAAATTAATATATCACAAGATAGATAGTAAATGGTTCAAGTATACATGATGAAAGGTTAGATATATAACACTCAGATTCTTCTATAAGTGAAAATGAAAATGTGAAAGGTCACAAGTGCTTAGTCAAAAAATAAGTTTTTCAGAAATTTCCCTCACTTTTAATCTGAAATATAATTTAAAACAAGACACTGCTTTTTGCCCATCAGATTTGTATGAAGAAGATTTATATTGAAAAGGGTGTGGAGAAAAGGACATTCATAGTCACTGGTAGGCATGTAAATGGATAACAGCCTTCTAGAGGGCAATTTCGTAGTGTCAAACAGTTCAAAGCTCACAATTTCATTTTTAGTCTGAATGTGCTGGCAGACAGTATAGACAAGACTTTTAACTGCAGCATTATTTTTAGCAACAAAAAAGAGAAAAACAGTTCATTTCCATCTGACCTTTTCTGAAAACTGTCCATGATACATTGTTAAGGGAAAGAGGACAATCACAAAAGGTTACATATTATTTTTATAGAAAGAGCATGTCTATCAATACATAGAAATGTAGTCATGAAATTATTTACAGTGGTTATTCTGGGTACAAGGATTGGGGCTTGGGGAATGAGACTGTGACTTGTACTTGATACTTATGAATAGTGGTTTTTCTTTTTTACTATTTTAAAATTGCCAAGAAAATGTAAAGTTAATTTATAGATTCAGTCTATTATTTGAATGACTGTAATTACAAGTGTGTTGAAGTGTCTGGCAAAGACTTGTGTTAGCAAATCAGATTATGAGCCGAAATGTCCAAGTATGGTGTCAGAGTTTCAAAGCATAGGCATTTTTCTTTTCTTAGAAAAATTTACAGTGAAAAATAAATGTGGTACCATTTTATTCAGTTTTCATACAGTCTCGGGGTTTTAAAACATTGAAATCAAGGACAAGATGTCTGCAGTACACCTCTGAAAAAATAGCAGAAACACAGCATATAGCACCATCATTTGTGAAGGTAATTAGACCTTTTTTGGTTCAAAAAGTAATAATTCTCAAGTACTAAAATGAGAACCTTCAATATCTGATTTGTCGACCAGTTAATTATCTCCCATCTTTGCACTTACCATAAAGGATTAATAACCTGTGTAATCATTATACCTACAACTCTGCTAGGTGCTAAACTTGTCCCTCTACTGCTCGACTAGACATCTCCCTCTGGCTTTTTCCCTAACGTACATTTGCTTTGTTCTCTGTGTTAATAAATAGCATCCACCCAGGCTAGAAATCTGATGATCAACTTCAGTTTGTCCATTTTCCCTCACATCCCACATCCATTAATCACTAAAGTCCCATTGATCCAGCCTCTTAAATTTCTCAAATCTCTCTCTTCATCCCCAGCTCCATTGCGTAGACAGACTATACCATTTCTTGCCTTGACTGCTCTAAAGAAAAGGCTCATTTAGTCTCCTTGCCATTAGCTTTGCTACCTTCACTCCAGCTTCCATATAGCCACTCACCAGTCTGTCTAAAACATAGTCATGTAATGTTTGTATATTTCTGCTTTCCTGTCAGATGCCTGCTGTGCTACAGGGCCATTTCATTGGCCTCTGCATGCCATTTTTCTGTTAGCATATTTCAGTGTGCCACCCACTCAGTACCCCTGCCTTCCTCCTCTCTTGGCATTTTAAAGGCCTGTTGTACAAGACGGCTTGTGGTTCTTGGGCACCAAAGGCTGTTGTTTCATGGCTGTCAAGTTATTCCTGCTGTGTAATTCCCTGGGATATAGATACCCTATCCTCTGTAAGGCCTTTCCTGACTGATGTAGGTAGTATTTCACTTCTTTTACTACCTTACCTACTGCTTCCCATATTAGAGTGATTTCAAAAACTTAGGTATTTCTGTATTTCTCCCCATTAAACGTAAATCATTCAGATCTTTGGTTACCTACACAGCTTCAGGCAAAGTACATGAAGGGTGTCCTGTCAGTAAACAGTTACAAATTAATGAGTTGTTCCTCGCAGTAAAGATAAAGGAGTGTGAACATCATGCCATTAGAATCCAAAGTCAATCTGTGGCCTATTAACAGTTTTAGTGTAGTGTTTAGTATACATAGAGTTCTTACAGAGAATTTCTTTATATCAGTTGATTTGTGCAAGTATAGGGACTGGTGTTAGATTCCTAGCTATGGATTAAGTAATTTATTGTGAGTCTTAGTCTAATCCTTCACACTGACAATAAAAATTAAAAATGATAGAATTTGAATTTTTTTGTGAGTGGTCATTATACTTTGGTGGAGCATTACCTATATAAGCTGCCAATACTGATGTTGTTTGTGTTCTTAGGGGTTTCTTTTGTGGGACAGAGGAACAGATGTTGAGAGTTGGGCAAACTCATGAAAACCAAGAACATACCTGAAGCTCACCAAGATGCGTTTAAAACTGGTTTTGCAGAGGGTTACCTGAAAGCTCAGGCGCTAACGCAAAAAAAACAATGATAAGTTGATTTGCCCCCCCCATATTTGGAATGAACATCTGAAAGGAAGTCAGAGTCCACCTTTAACTGACTTGGAGAACAGTTACCCAGCTTTTCATTTCATTCCTTATATAAAAGTTACCAATCATGTATCCCATTTATAACTTTAGTGGTGTGGAAGTGGAAATACCTGCTGACCCCTTTTGGCTTTCTCAACTGAGAAATCACAGCTAAGGACAGAAGCACGTGTGGCTTCATGAGGTTTTTGGTAACAGTGCTGAAAGGAAATCATGGGTGTAAGGCAGAAGAACTCCAGGTTACAGCATAGGATGTGATGAGATACATGAGCACCTCATATGAGGACGCTAATATTTGCGTTTCACTGAGCTGTTGTTTCTCATGGATGTCTTTTGACTTAGCTTTTTCTTTTCCAGATTCTCTCAGAAGAACTCGTCTGATCCTCTTTGTCCTGCTGCTCTTTGGCATTTATGGATTCTTTAAAAACCCATTTTTATCTGGTAAGTGTTTTTATTTGCCTAATTTTTAAAATCTTCTAAAAACCTGTTTCATTTTTATAGTTACTCTACCTAAGACTTAGAGAAAGGAACACTGATGTTTCTGGCTCTAGGGTCTAGGCTTTTCATTTCTGAATAAAGAATTCTCTGATTGGGTCACTTTGCAATTGTTTCTTGCATTGAAGAAGAAACGTTTTAATCTTACGATTGTGTACCATCTGCATTTTCAGAAGGCTTATTATACATTATACATTGCTTTATGGCTTGCAAGAAAAGCTCCTTCAAATACTGTACAACTTTAAGTTTTACTAGTTTGTCTCAAAAATAATATTTCTTAAAATTGCAAGCATAGAAGACAAGTAGTGATTCTACAGCATCTTACTATGCTGATGGACAGAGACTGTAATGGGGTTTGTGGGGGAAGGGCTTGGTGATGGGGGGGAGTCTACTAAACATAATGTTCCTTATGTAATTGTAGATTAATGATAACAAAAAGAATTGCAAGGATAATGTTAGAGTGAAAATGTTAGATTAATTTCTAGTAGTGGTTAGTTTCCCAGAGTTTTAGGAAGTGATACCTAATTATTAAATTAAAAACATGTAGAAAAATTTCAAACAGCAATACCAAGGGAAATAGTTATCCATTTCCAAGACACTAATAAATTAAAGTTACTAAAAATTAAGTTACTAAATGAGTCTATTATCTGTTTTCCAGTCTAAGAAGTAATATTGTCAAGTTTAAGTGGTTCTGATTGCATTTTCTACTACTACTCAGTTGTGACACCTTGTTCTCTACTCTCTTTATGACAGATTACCTTGAGAGAAAAAGCTGATGTACAATTAAGAACAATGGTTGACCTGCCTCAGGATTTCATCCGAGAATTTGCCTGTTGTCCCATATATATATTTTAATGTGGCATCAAACTGGAGATGAGGTTTTAATGTCTACGAATAACCTTTCGTAGGTTATTCTGATGATTCTTTGTTCCTTTAACTACTGTCTTGCATTAGGTAAAACAATCAAAATAGGAAATGCATTGCCTCTGTGTAATTATTCTTAATTTTTTATTAGGTCTGGGTGAGTCTCCTGTAAACTAACTTGCATTATTTATTAAGTCCATCTATATAGGTACTTTAAAAGTAATTTAGTGGGCTAAAACTATTAATGTCTGCTCTAGAATTGCTGAATGAAATTTTCTGTCCTGACTTATATGTTCTTGATATGTTAAAGGTTTCTTATTAACCCTGTATTTTTGCCTGCTAATTTTTTTGCTTCTAAAATTCCAATCCATCCTAAAGATACTATTTTTGGTTGTTTCTGAGTTAATTAGCCATTGCTCAGTTTACTCATTTACGTCTGTCTAGTATGGAAGTTTACATGTTGGGCAGAGGTGTAAGAAAGCTTTGTAAATGCTTTATCTCAAATATTGTACTACCCTACCAAACTCTTACTATCTTTCTTATTCTTAATGATGTTATTACTGATGTCATTTGAGGGCAACTAAAAACAGTTGTTAGAGGAAGAAGGCTACATGATAAGTGAAACAGTCTGTTAAGGTTCAACCCCCCCCTTTTTTTAAATGCCAGTGCCAGTTTTTATGCTAGGTTTAAGTAACGTATTTCATAGTGTAGATCTCTAACCAATTGTGTCAGGATAATTCAGGGTGATTGATAAAACTGCAGTCTCTTCTGGGACCTTCCCTAAATCTACAAAAGAGAAGATTTCCAGGGCCATGACCTGGGAACCTGTATAGACATACTGCTATAGTGATTTTTATGCACAATGGAAATTGAGAACCATTGGCTTGAATTTCTATTACTAGATATTATAAGGAGAAGCAGCAAATAATTCTTAGTTTTAATTGGAAAGTACAAAGATGTCTTTTTAATGTGAATCATTTATTCCTTGAACATGGTCCAGAAGCGCAGAAGCCCTAGTTTCTACTCCTCACTCTGATTTAATGTATGTGAACTTAGGTATTTCCTTTTTGGGGGGCTTTCTTGCATCTGAAAAATAAAGTGGTTGGAATTTTATGAATCTGTCAAATTTGTAAGCATTTCTTTTCTTCCAATTAGTCCATTTCCAGACAACGATAGGGCTTGATTCTGCAGTAGATCCTGTCCAGATGAAAAATGTCACCTTCGAACACATTAAAGGAGTAAGTTAAAAAGTTTCCCTTGTTCTCATCAAACATTATAATTGTGTATGGTCAATATTTGATTCCAAAGGCGTGAAATAATAGAAAACCAAAAATATGTTTTGGTCTCTGCCCTCAGTTCCTGGTACAGGGCTCCTAAAACCCTTGAAATTTCCTAAGTGATAAGAGCACTGGGAGCATTTTTTGTTTTAGTATTTGGTCTTTGACCCCGACTCCTGACACAGGTTCTCTGAGTCGTTTGGAATTTCCTGGGTGATGGCAATGTCTCTTGTTCTAATGGGTGTGACTCTTGGTGGGGGGTCCTGGGTGAGGGCTAGTCACTACCAGAAAGACCAAGCCATGGTTAGAAGTTTGGGACTTTCAGCCCCACTCCTGTTCTCCGGAGAGCAGGGAGGGGCCGGAAATGGGGTTAATAATCAATCATTCCTGCACAAAGACTCTCCCATAAAAACCCAGTAGTTTGGGGCATTGCAGGTTCCTGAACACATGGTGGTACGAAGAGAGTATCATGCCCAGAGATGCATTGGAAGTTCTTCCTCTTCCCACATACCTGGCCTTGCAAATCTCTTCCACCTGGCTATTCCTCAGTAATACCCTTTCTTTATAAACCAGTAGTCCAGTACCTAACATGTTTTCTGAGTTCTGTGAGCCACTCTAGAAAATTAATGGAGCATAAGGAGGTATCTTGGGAACCTCCAGCTCATAGCCAGTTGGTCAAAAACAGAGATAACATAGACTCATGATTGGCATCTGAAGTGGATGTGTGGCAGGAGGTGGGGGGATAAGTCTGGTAGGACTGAGCCCTTAACCCTTTGCTGATAGGATCTGATACCCTCTCCAGGGGGATCGTGTCAGAACTGACTTGAATTGCAGGACATCCTGCTGGAGTGTGAAGTGCTTGGTTAGGGGAAAAACTAAAACATGTTTGGTGACTGGAAGTAGTGTAGAGTAGATTAGAGTGAGTCAAGGAAAATGAGAGTGTAAATATTCCTTTACATTAAGGAATATTATGCAGTAGCTAAAACGGCATCCAAAAATACGTGAAACTTTAATATTCTGGGTAAATGACAGTAGCAGAAGATGAGTCTTGTTTCATGACAGGGCTTCGTTTCAATCTGTGAAACAGCAGGTGTAATGGAATGAATGTGGACTTCATAGTCAAAAGACTTAAAAAAAAAAGACTTAAGATTTCAGAATTTAATTTTGAGTCATTGGCTTGAACAAGTTACTTTAGATTCTTACAGATAATGTATGCTTGACATATAGTTGATGCATAGTAAATGGTGCTTCTCTTCACCCATTCCTCTTAATTGATTTTTGTACTCTGGTACCTAACCCACCTGTATTGAAAGAATGGAACGGATGAATGCCAGTTTATCCTCAGTTAGCTAAAACATTTGTTTAATAAATATTAATAGTGTCTACTAAATGCCAGGCCCTGTTTTACATACTGGATAAAATAAAACAAATCTCTGCCCTCATGTTTTAATTATAATAGAAATTGGACAACGTGGTACATATGGGAATACAGAGATGTTCAAAAATGTTAAAATGTTATGGGAAAAATACAGAGCAGGGTGAAGAGGATTGGGAGTTCTGGGAGAAAGGTCACAACTTGAAATGGGGTGTTCAGTGTATGATTGAGAAGGTGACATTTGAGTGAAGAATTGAAGAAGATGGGGTGAACCATGCATGTGTCTGCAAAAAGAGCATGCCTAACCAGAGGAGGAGAGACAGCAAAGGCCCTGCAAAACTAATGTGCTCAGCCTGCTCACTGAGCAGTGAAAAGGCCACTTCTGTACGGATGGAGTGAACAGCAAGTGAGCAGAAGTCGTGGGAGATGAGATCAGGGAGGTATAGAGGACCTGATTCACAGTGTCTTATAAGCCATTTTTAGACTTTGGCTTTTACTCTGGTCAAGTGGTAGCCATTGCAGGATTCTGAGCAGAGGTAAGATGCGGTTTGACATAAAATTTAATGGGAACTGTGGCTGCTGTGTTGAAGTAGGGACAAAGGTAGAAAATAGGCCGTTACTGTACTCCAGGCAAGAGATCGTGGTGGCTTAGGCTGACAGGATAGCAGTAGAGTTCATGAGAAGTGGTTAGATTGTTAATACGTATTATGAAGGTAAACCCAACAAGGTTTCCTGACGGAAGAGAATGTAGGGCATGAGAAAGAAACAGGTGTCAAGAGTGACAACAAGAGTTTTAGCCTGAACAATTGGAAGAATGAAGTTGTCATTTACTGAGAAGAGAAAGGCTATGGACAGAACAGACTGTGGGGACATAGATTAGGAAATAATCTCATACCTCTGTTAGATTTCTAGAAAGTTTCACAGAAATATTTCCAGGAAATACAAAATAGCTTAACGGGGAAGCAGGGTTTTTGTTAGGCTTGGAGGAGTTTTTGAAAGTTACTGTGATAAAATGATTAAAACTTAACTGAAATATTTATAAAATGAATGGCTAAAAGCAAACCTTGTCCACTCCTAGGCCCAGTATAAATGATTTAATTTATACATGAGCTTACCTAGAGACATCCACAGGAATATTCTCAACAGCCCTGTTTAAGCCAAAACTAGAAACAACCCAATGTCCACCTAACATAGAATAAACATACAGTATTGTGGCAGCCGTAGAATAAAAATCCTATGCAGTGAGGGTAAATAACAACATGGGTAGATTTGACAAACATCACATTGGGTGAAAGAAGCCATACATACTACATGTATTGCATTTATATAAAATTCATAAACAGTCCAAACTATTTGTGTGTGGTGTTAGAGCAGTGATTATCTTTGAGGTGGGAAGAGATAGGAACTAGAAAGAACTGGGAAGGTTCTGGTAATGTTCTGTTTCTAGAGCTGGGTGCTGATAACATATTTGGAGTTCACTCTGAAAGTACATTGAGGTGTATACATTTATGATTTGTACATTTTTGTGTGAATATTAAGCTTCAGTAAAATTTGTTTAAGAAAAGATTTAGCTGGATTATTGCAATAATTTGTTTAAATTTAAGAGGTATCCATGTATTAAAAGAATACCAAAATACTTGGTCAAAGTAGTGGATAACCTTAAATTGCAGGAGAAAAGGAAAACAGATAGAACATCATCTACTCAAATTATTTTCTCTCCCAAACCTCTGTGGCAAGAGAATTCCCAGTAGAGGAATTTATATAAAATCTATGGAGGAAAATAAGGCTGAGGAATCAAGGCAGTGAATGAAGTTGCAAAAATGCTTATTAATATTTTTAAAGAAGCTATATATAAATAACTAGAAATTCTAGACAAGGAAGAAATTGGCATACAGACTCTTTCAAGACTTGGTGCATTGATCACAGATACTACCTTGTGGCATACCTACCATGGTAAATGCTACTGAATTACTTTGGTCTATGTAAATTTAGATTTTATAGCAATTACAACACTTAGTCATATTAGCACAGAATACTTGGTGATGTCCACCTTGTTCTGTCTTCTACTGTTTACTATCAGCATGTCTTCTTCAGCTTTTACTCAGAGATGAGCTCATCCCATAATAAAGTATAATTAGTAATTATGTACATTGCAGGGAGAAAGTAAGAATGCCTCAATTTTGCAAGATTTTATAGTGTTGGGATTAAATCTTATAAACTTGTTTGACACAGCTATTTACAAAATGATACTCAGTAAAGTATAACTTGATTTTAGTCACTGCCCTTTGTCATTTGTTAGGAACTAAATCATGTATAATTTTGTAGTAATTCCTTATAATGAATATAATATCATAATCACAAATTCATGTTACAATTTAAACACAGACCTCCTTATCCTTAAATATTTAAATACATAGTAAGTCCACATAATTTGCCCTTGAAGCTTATTACTCGTCCAAACAAGTCCTGGATTTGAAACTTTCCAGGTGACTCGATTTGCTTATGTTAAATACCACTGACACATTTAACTAGAATTTTCAACGTTACAGTCCTAGTTAACTGGAGGAAGTATTGACAATGTAAGAAATTCAAATTTATTTATTTTTTTGGATATGTAAGGAGACTTTGCATAACTGGCAAAAGTGTCAGGAGAAACCTCTGTGTGTGTGTGTATTTATTTATAAGGGACCCTTTTTTGTATACTTTCACTGAATGAAGAGCCAAATTAATATCCAGTTAAATTGATGTTTCAAAGAGGCTATCTTGATAATCTAATCATTTGAAAATATTTGAAAAATAAACTGTGTAACTTTAGGTGGAGGAAGCTAAACAAGAATTACAGGAAGTTGTTGAATTCTTGAAAAATCCTCAAAAATTTACCATGCTTGGAGGCAAACTTCCAAAAGGTAAGATATCTTCCCTTGACTGTGACTTACCAAAAAATACTGTACTATATTACTAACTTAATTTTTATCAGATTTGACTGACTAAGTTTAGTTCTGAATTACTGTCTTACAAATAAGTGCTCATTCTGAACATACTGTTCTATAACCACCTTTGGGGGGGCAATTTAAATTTTGTTATAATTTCAGACTTTATAGTTGTAAGAATAGTAAAGAACACTCTCCATACTCCATTTTGTCCCATTTGCTCATTCCCTTTTTTTAAAAAAAACTACTTGTTAGTAAACTGTAGATGCCATGTTCCTTTATCCCTAAATATCTCATTGTGTATTTCCCAAGAATAAGGAAAAATCTCTACCTAATTTACATACATGTTCTCTTTAACATAACTTATTAAAATCAGGAAATTTAACATGAATCCAAAACTACTGTTAAAACCCACCGTCATTGAAATTTCAACATTTTTCCCAATAATATTCTTTGTAGCGAATTGCCCCACCCCCAACCCCAGGTTCATAGGAATCAAGGTTCACACATAACATTTAGACTTTCTTTAATCTGAAAAAGTTCCTCAGCCTTTTTTTTTTTCCAGGGTAGTGGGGTTGCTGATCTTTTATTTGAAAAATTGTGTGGAGTACATGATATTTTGTAGAACATTCCTCAGTTTAGCTTTCTCTGATGTTTCTTAATATGGGTTTTAATGACTGTGATACTGTGATCTATAATAAATATATGGTAGTTCCCATTTCTTGGAATTTCATAGTTATGAAAGCAGTAGTTTTCTTTTGTTTTGTTAATGAGCTGACTTTATGAACATATGGAAAGATGAAGGCTGGTTGCCCAAAGAAGCAGCCATGTGATTAGGGGGTTGGAACTTTCATTTTCATCCACCCACCCCACCCTGACCTCTGGAGGGAAGAGGGGCTGGAAGTTGAATCAGTCACCAGTGTCCAGTGATTTAATCACGCACATCTATGAAATGAGGCCTCCATTAAAACCCCAAAAAGGGGTTTGGAGAGCTCCCAGGTTGGTGAATATGTGGAATTCGGTGAGAGTGGTGCACAAAGAAGAGGGCATGGAACCCCCTCGCCCTTACCCTGTACTTTGCCCTTTGCATCGCTTCCATCTCGTTGTTCCTGAATTACATCATTTTATAATCATTTTAAACCAGTTATCTACTAAGCAAAACTTTTCTCTGAGTTCTGTGAGCTGCTCTAGCAAATTAATCAAACCCAGCAAGGTCACTGGGACCTCCAACCTATAGCCTGTCATTCCGGTAAATCTGAGCCTGTAATTTGTGTGATCTGATGCTATCTCCAGGTAGGTAGTGTCAGAATTGAATTGTAGACACCCAGCTGGTATCAAAGAATTGCTTGTTGGTATGAAAGAAAACTCCACATATTGGAATTGGGTGCAGGTTTGTAATGGCTCTGTGATGTCCTGCTGTGAGGTTATTACGCTTTTTATCTAACCATTTATATTGAGCTTTAAATGTTTCCAAGCTTTTGTTATTAAAATTAGCACTGTGATGATAATGTTAGTATCTCAAGACATTGCCCACATGCTTATTTGCTTAGAATAAATTCTGCATTATTCATTTATTATACATACATTATTCTAGATTCCAGTTCTACACTTGGAATTGGTGAGTTAAAGGGAGCACTCTTGTGTAAGTCTTATTTTTATTTTGCTCAGTATCTCTACTTCAGCAGTGTATAAAAATGTCATGAATCTTTGCTAATTTAGGGCTCACTTATTAAATCGATACAATAACATCATAGAAAGTATGATTAGAACTCTAGAATGGTTGCATTCTTTCCAATCACAAGGAACATTTTATAAATTTGTGGGAAAATCCTCAGGTAAAAACCAGAGAAATTGATATAAAGATGATTTAAACCAGGTAGGGATCACATGGCAATAGTCTTAAGGGTATTTTGGAGCTTTCCTGAAAAAGAGTTTATGTTAAAATATAGTACTAATACAGTTCTGTTGTTTTTTTAAATGTAGTCTACAAAATGAAAAAGTCTTGTAAACCAAAGAATTCTGTTATCTCACCTTACTTAGTGTGAAAATTTTTAAACATGGAAAAGTTAGAAAGCTGTAGACCTTAACTATATGATATTGAAATACTTAGTTATGCATTACCTAAGACTCTGGGCATTGTCCTAAATAGAGTGATTTATCCTACTAATAAAACTAGACACTTATTTCCTTAATAATAATATCAAATGTCCCTAGAATTTTTTAAAATACATTTTTAATGGAAGATTATCAAGTCAAGGATCATGTATTACATTTTGGTTGTTTAGTCTTTTAACCTATTTTTATATGACTTTTATCCTATTTGTTTATCCCTATGATTTTCCCCCCCTTTTTTTTTCCCGCCCTTGTACCTCCCTTCCCACCCATCCTCCTCAGTCCCTTTCCCTTTGGTAACTGTTAGTCCATTCTTGGGTTCTGTGATTCTGCTGTTTTGTCCCTTCAGTTTTCCTTTGTTCTTATACTCCACATATGAGTGAGATCCTTTGGTACTTGTCTTTCTCCGCCTGGCTTATTTCACTGAGCATAATACTGTCTAGCACCATCCATGTTGTTGCAAATGGTAGGATCTGTTTTTTTCTTATGGCAGAGTAATATTCCATTGTGTATATGTACCACAACTTATTTATCCATTCATCTACTGATGGACATTTAGGTTGCTTCCATATCTTGGCTATTGTAAATAGTGCAGCGATAAACATAGGGGTGCATCTGTCTTTTTCAAACTGGAGTGTTGCATTCCTAGGGTAAATTCCTAGAAGTGGAATTCCTGGGTCAAATGGTAAGTTTATTTTGAGCATTTTGAC